TTACTACTTCCACATAATCTATAATGGCTATTGCCACACTACTAGAATGATTATTTCCACTCCAACTACTAAACTAAAAACAAACTAAAAATGGTGACCATGAATACAAGGTCAAAAGGAATACATTTTAATAAGGAACATGTCTCTAAATCCTAAAGGCATGACCTACAAACAAGGAAACTTACACTCCTAAATACAAGGATAAAAACAACCTATAGATTTAACTACTACATACAAAAGAATGGAAAACAAACTATACAAAGTATATACAATAGAACACTAAAAATAACTAGGAGGAGGACACATACTTTATGCTCATGATAAGCACAAGTCTAAGAAGCACATCCTTTCTTGTAGCTTCTTCTAACCCCCTAACAATAGACCTTGTCAAAGGTCATATGGTCTTCAAGGATGGTCCTCCATCAGGAGGAGGCCCCTTACATGCAAAAGTTCTTGCTTTGGAAGTGGGGTTGCATTTATGTTCGGAAAAAGGGTTTAAATTTATTCTTTGTGAGTTGGATTGTGTAACTATCATCTTTACCGTTCGTGATAACTCACAATATGATTTTTCATGGCATAAGGAGCAATGTTGTTGCTTGTGGGTTAGCTAGATAGGGAGCCAAATTTAGTTCAACGTTTGTTAAATGGAGGAGTCCTCCAAATTTCATTTTGCATGAAGTTGGTTTAGATTTCATGTAATTCTCTTTACTTGTTTCTACTCATCAATATACTAAAAAATAAGCTAATAGGTCAGGCTAGACTTTTAAAAATGTTAGGTCAGACTTATAAAAAAATTATGATAAATAATAGGTTAGACTTAAGATTTAATTTTATAAAACTAGTTCGACCTATATATTTAAAGACTGATCTAACATATTTTTATTCCTAATTGGAGTTTAAGGTTTTTATACACATATTAGGAATAATAATAATAAATGTATCACTTTTTGATACAATTTTACCAAAATAACCTCATTTTCTCAATAAATACATTATTTTAATAGTTTTCATGAATAATAATGGTATAATTGTATCAAAAATAATGTAGTTTAAAAATAGATGAAAAATAAAGGTATAATTGACAAAAAAAAAATTAATTAACGTTGTCTTGAACTTAAAAAGCAATATTTTTTTGTCTCGCAACGATTGTAGTTTTAGCATTTGAAAAATGTCTCAAAATAAATTATGTTTTTCACTTTTCAATGTAATATTAATTATTTTTTTCTTCCTAATTTTTCCCTTCTAAATTGTTCAACGTCCATAATGTAAAGGAATTCATTTATTAGGAGAGTGAGATTTGTATAAAAAAGTGATACATCTATCATTTTCCTTAATATCTATGTAGAAACCTTAAATTGCAGCCACTATGGGATGAATATATCAAAAGTAGAAGTATCTTTTGGGTATAGATAGTACAAATTAATTCCCTTAAGTCATTTTTAACTATGCAATTTCACATATGTACAAATCACTAGATCCCTCTCATTTCGATGCTTCCTGACTATTATAAGTCCATCATCTTTTACTTGGTTCGCCCTCAAACTGCACCATACTAGGAGAAAGAATCTACTCTAATATCATTTGTAACACTCCTCAGATTTGATGTTTCAGTGACTCCACTCCATGACACTTAACACAATGGCACTTCACAAACCATTCATTGGTCAGAACCTTTCACTGGTCAACCCTATGTTGGTAGCCCTTTTTGAGACACTCATCTACCTTTAGGATCAATGACTGATCTCACAAACCAACACAAGTCTTTTCAGCATGTTTTGTTCCCAATCATACACATTTTGGGAAACTTTCCAGAAGGTCACTCGTCATTATATTGCTCCAAGCCAAGCATGCTTAACTGTGAATTTCTTAATTAATGAACTACCAAAAAGTTGATGCATCTTGTTGGTATAAGTAGTATAAATTAATTCTTTTAAATCATCCTCAATTGCACAATTTCACATACGTACAAATCATTGGATTCCTTTCATTTTGGAGTTTCCTGAGTGTTACAAGCCCATCGACTTTCGCTTGGTTCATCCTCAAACCACATCATACTAGGAGAAAGAATTTGCTCTGATATCATTTGTAACACTCCTCATTTTTTATGTCTCAACGACTCCACTCCATGACACTTCACATAGTGACACTTTACACAATAACTCATTGGTCAGAACCCTTCACTGGTCAGAACCCTTTATGGGTAGTCCTTTTTAAGATGTATGTCCCCCTTTAGCATCAATGACTGACCTCATAAACTAAGACAAGTCTCTTTAGCGTGCTTTGTTCTCACTTATACACTTTTTGGGAAACTTTCCAAAATGTCACTCATCCCTAAATTACTCCAAGCCAAGCATGCTTATTTGTGAAGTTCTTACAAATTAATTCCTTTAAATCATTTTCAATTACACAATTTCATAAATGTACAAATCATTGGATCCTTCTCATTCTTGTGTTTCCAAGTTGTTACAAGTCAAATGGGTCAAGATAGCCTAGCCCAACCTAACCTACATGGACCAAATGTTATTTTGGGCTAGGCTAACCTAACCTATATTGATGGTAGAGTCATGGCCAAGGGTCCTACTATTAGGGCTATGACTAGGAGAATACAAGAGGATTGGACATGTACAAAGGCTAGTGGGCCTAAGTTTCTTTTCATTTGGGCTACTACATGATTAAGCCTAATACCTTCTTATTATTGGGCCTTGTATTTCTTGGGCCAAGTTTGGCCAAGTATTATAGGAGAAGCCTAGTCTTCATTATTTGGATATCATACGGTTGCTCAAGGATAATTCTTCTTAGCCAATTGCATCATACCAGGTTCTTTTCCTTGCCCATTCTAGCTCTAGGCAAAACTTTTATGATAAAAAGTTGATCAACAATTCAATAAATTTTAACTAATAAATTCACAACTAAACTTTCTGCAAGTGATAGAAGTCTGGGTATATTACACAAATATCACATTTCTAATTTAATAGTAGGCTTTTGGAAAATTTTATGGTTGCTTGAATAGTTTTTAATCTTTGGCTAGTATGTTATTACATGGCATCAAATTCTAACCCGATTTTTTTTAAATGATTAAAAAAATTGATTTTGTAACAATCATTATATCCATGCCCTTTAATTCTTTGGGTTTGGGAATATGAACTCCATATTCTATTAATTAAATTTTGAAAGGTATAAATATGATTTCATGTGTCTTAATCATGAAAAAAAATGTTTTGGTTTTAGTAAAGGGACATTTTTGTATGTGTGAGTTATAAAATAGGAAAAGGTTTACAGTTATTTATAGTTAACTCCAACAAAATTCCTTCCTCAAAATTTAGTGCTTATTTATTTACTTACATTGTTTTATAGATTAGAAGATATGATGATTACCATGATGTTATAAGGTTGGATGACACTACAAGGTTAATTGACTGCACTTCTATTCAAGTGAGTTTATTTTTTCCTCTTTTTTTCTTTCTTTCTTTAGGTTCAATTCAACATAATTAAATATGTTTGAGTTGTGTGTAATTTCTTTTACTTACACCTTCAACCTAATACCAGTTTTCTTGTCAAAATTTCTTTAAGCTTTATATTTTACATGTTCAAGTAAGAATGTATGATTAGCCTATATATAATATCTAAAATCCACTTGTCCTACTTATGAATAAAAAAAAGTCTAATTATTATGTAACATGACATGTTAGAATACCTTAAAATATATAGTAGAATACTGTTAGAAGTTTTACTGATAATTGTGATATCAATTTAGAATACTTTTAATTTTCAAATGTTATGTTATTTAGTATATGTCAAGAAAAAAAAAAAAGTTATAATTTGATTTTTTGAATACATTCTACAAACTATTTGTCTTATTCTAAATACATTTTAATAACTATCTTATTCTTTTTTCTCTTTCACTTTTCATTTTTATATTCATTCAAAAATTAATTTTGTTCGATTTTAAAAAAAAATGTCAAATAAAAAATAATTTAATTTTAAAAGGTTGCAGACTTACCATTTTGTCTAGTCTAGTCTTGAAGTTTGGAATAGAGTTGCACAATTACCGTTTTGCCATGATTCACAAGAAGACAAAGAAGACTTTCTTGAATATGGTGTGAAACATAATTGGAAGAAACAAAGTATATTTTGGAGGTTACCATATTGAAAAATGAAACTTTTATGTCATAACATTAATGTAATTCACACAGAGAGAAATGTTTTTATGAATGTGTTTGACACTATGATGGACATCAATGGTAGGACTAAGCATACATTTAACGCTTGATTGGATTTAGCAAAAATATGCAATCGAAAAGAGCTTGAGTTGAAAGACGTTGGTTGCAACAAACTTATGAAACCAAAGGCAACATATGTATTGACCAAATCCCAAAGAATTGTTATCTGTAATTGGGTTAAACTTATGTTGCCAGATGGGTATGCTTCCAATTTGGGTAGATGTGTTGACCTTAAATAAGAAAACTTACATGGAATGAAAAGCCATGATTGTCATGTTTTCATGCAATAGTTGCTTTTGATTGCATTTGACTCATTACCAAAACCTATTTGAAAGGTTCTCGTTAAACTTAGCCTATTTTTTAGACAACTTACTTCAACAACACTAAATGTCAAACAAATAAGAGTTATAAAAGATAACATACCTATGTTGTTGTGTAAGTTGGAATAATATTTCCACCAAGCTTCTTTGATTCAATGGAGCATCTCCTAATTAATTTACCTTATGAAGCCAAAGTTGGTAATCCAGTCCAATATCGTTAGATGTATCCCTTTAAGAGGTACAAATTAGTTACATCATTTGCACACCATTATATTGTATCTTTCTTCAAATCTTTGAATGGCAATACATGTTTCTCTTTGGGTTTTTACATTCCCTCAAACAAACACTACAAAAAAAATGCTATTTAGTGGGGGTTATTTTACGGCGGTTTTAGAAACCCCCTCAAAATAACATGAGTTGCGGCGTTTTGGGAGAACGCTCAAAATTGTAAAAATAGTGGCGGTTTTTATCACTTTTTGAGGAGGTTTATGCCCTTTGAAATTTGAGAGGCAATTTTCCGTAAAAAATTTCACCATTTTCCCCCGCAATTTATTTTCACCCAATCCCTCCAATTTTGTCCACATTTACCTTTTACTGACTCTGCTCCTCCAGCCAAGCGCACCACTTCGTTCATCTGTGCACTTCCACCGTGCGCATTGCCTGGCTCATCCACTTCCACCGCTCCGCTCAGCCGCACACTGCTCCGGTCAACCGCACGCTGCTCTGTTCATCTGCACGCTGCTCCATTCATCCGCGCGTGCGGCATTGCTCATCCGTGCGTCGCTCCCACGTTAAGGCTAATCTCCCACATTTTCGCTCTACTCAACCCTCTCTCTCACCCTACCTTCTAGTGTTTCAAGTATGTTTCCTCTTTCTTTTCTATAATTTCATCTACTAAAGAGAAAGTGTTTGACAATTATATTGTTGTCGTAGGGTTTGTGATTGGTTGAAAATGATTGTTTGTTTCATTGATTTTACGAGTGGTGTGTGAACCTGGTAGTGTCTTCTTTGAAAAGCTTTGGCCAAATGAAGTCTAATGGTGTATACGTGAGGGAAAAAACTATGGTGGGTCCGAATTTCCTGATATAGTGTCTTATGCCAAAGTCAAATATGTGTGTAGTGGATAAAAGGTCCAAAACCGACGAAACTTCCCCACAACTTTTTGGATAAAATTAACCAATTCTTTGAAAATCTTAATCCTGTCCAAACTTGGCAGAATGGGAAAAAAATAAGTAAATAATAAAATTTCCCCCCTTCTCTATAGTGTATGTCATAAAATAGAGCTCAGGACACAAAGTTTTTTTAAAAAAAATATTTAAATTTTCACAATAATTGTCCTTTTCTGTGTTTAAGGTAAGGTTGCTACTGAGACTGGATTGTCTTGTTAAATTTTAATTGTTTGATGTCACTTTTTTGGGGGCTTCTACTGTCAAACAAATAGCATTTTTAAACAAATAGCATTTTAATTGTTCCCTTGTTGGATTGTGTTCGATTTTTAAACTCTATTACTCTTGTCATGTACTAGGAGCTTCCACTTGCTTCATTTTCATGTTTCTGTATTCTGTGTTCATGTTTTGGGATGGCTTGTGTTGTTTGCATCGTTATGGCATGCTTGGAAAATGTTGGTCTCTTTATATTTTATATTGGTTTCGGTGGATTGGTCCAAGATTTGTGTTGGTGGGGGTTTGGAATGGTAATGTTAGTGCTCGTTTAGCTGTTTCTTATGGATTTGCCATCTCACGTACGGAAGTTTCAGCTTGATTTGATAGCAATTTCGTGAACAATATATATAGTTGCAACTTCTAGTGCAATGTGGAAAAGTGTTTGAGTTTCCTATTTGGTTTTTATGATTGCATGGATCTATCTTCCTCCTTCATCTCTGTTTTTACTGGAGGTGTGGTACTACTTCTATTTTAGGCTTGTTTAATCATTAAATTCCTGTTCTGACTTCTGTTTGGTGCTTATAGCCTCCTAATTATTTTTATTGAGATTGGTTTGTAAATCTGTTTGGTGCTTATAGCCTCCTAATTATTTTTATTAAGATTGGTTTGTAAATATGTTAATATCACTTGTATTGTCTACTCTCTTAAATATAAGTATGATGATGATTCCTTTCAACCACATACACTACTATTGTTCGTTGACAACACCACCTGACATCTAGAATTAAAATGAGAGGATAACTTCATGATAATTAATTTTACTGGTAGCGTTAGGAGACTCTGTTATGCAAAGCTTCTCACTGTGTTTGAAGATAAATGATAAAGCCCTCTGAAAAGCTGAGTATTCTATGTTACTTTTATTTTTGGTGGTCAGAATTTTCAATACTAGAGCCATCTACAAGGGGAGATTAGGAGGCAAAGCTCAGCTTGGATATGTTGAAACTTACCCGTCTGGTCGATATGGACGTGTAAGTGTTGCTCATTCACTTTAACTTCATCTTCATGTTTTGTGAATGGATCTTGGTTAAATTTCTGATTAATTGGTCTAGTGTTAATGTTCACAATATGGTGATTAAGTTGGAGGGGTATATGAATTGATTGATGAAGATGCTATTTTGTGTTAAACTTGAATTTAATTTGAGTATATGTTCGTGTTTGACTTTGAAATTATGAGCACCAAGTTAAGTCTTGAAATTATAAAACAGAAATTGTAGTAATTAAAATTAGTAATTGTTGGGCATTTTAATCTCCTACTTTAGTGTACAACTGTGCATCACTCAATCTGGCTCTGGCTTCAAAAATCAAATTAACTGATAGTTGTCAAATACTTGGATCGAATTAACGATAGTTGTCAAACACCTTTTCTTCTTAGTTGAAAATCATCCAACCAGACTACAAGTGAATTAACTTATAAGAATTACCTTTTCAATTTCAATAAGGACTTCTGGCTGCCGCAGACGCACGTGATTATATTACTTCACTGCTAAATAATCACGTCCCTTACCTTATTGCCAATTATCTTTTTATTCTACTTTCTTACTTCTTAACAATAATAATTTATCTATTTGCAATATAAATATTTTTTACACTCCCACAAATTGTTACGTCTACTTATTATAATAACACTACGTAGGATATTTCTTACCATGTCTGCTGTGCTTCAGTTTTTTTTTTTTTTTTTTTTGGGTGTATGATTTGTGTTTTCAGTTTGATTCTCAGTTTAACTTTTCTTAAATTATTCAAATAAGGCTATCTTCAAATTTGAAAGTTTGTGAAAATCATTATACAACATGTCACTGGAAAACATAAGGTAGTGGTCATTCTTTTTCTTTTGAAGTTCGATAGCCTTCGTAGACTAGACTAGTTGAGCATCCTCTGTTTATAAAATATTCAAAATCCTAACCAAGTCATTCACTTGAGTTTCTCTCGTAAACGATTACGCACATTTAATTTTAATTAATTATAAAACTGTAACTAAATTGTTTTGCATATGTAATAATTTGGAAAGGGGTATGGTTCATTAGTAGATGTACGCTACTTAAATTCAAAATCCAAACAGACTTTACCTTATTAGAAATTAAAATTTTAATCGTAATATTCTAAAAAACCAATATTTAATGTGATCTTGTATCATGGGTGTACATGTTGGAATTAAGCACTGATGTAGTCCTTCAAATTAAGTAGAACTCCTTTTGCTTTTTCACAGTCCAATAAGTTCTTTATGATATTTGCAATGATACTCTTTCACACTTAAAGGTATTCGGATTATCAAGTAGATAAATAATCGATATAGTAAAAGTATTTAATGATTATGCATAGATCTTTAATATATAATCAGAATATGTGCACAGGTAAGTATTATGACTTATTATTTCATTCACAGGTAAGTATTATCAGGTAAGTATTATGACTTATTATTTGGTGATTGAATGTAATACTGGATGTGATTGCATAGGCTTAGGTTACTTGTTTTTTCTTTCTCTTATTTGTTGCTTCAACACCATATAGAAGTGACAATTTTATTCAATTTTATTTCTTAAGATACTTATTAGTTTGATCTTGGAGATTGCACTTGGATTATGGAATTATATATTAGGACCAAATTACACATCCTTTATCTCTAAATTGTACTGATACTAATTTATTTTTCTTATTTCAACCTAGTGACGTTGGAAGTGAACCTGAATCGCCGTTAGATGCTAGAGGATCATCTGGTGGTAGCAACTTGAATAGTCAGTCTAATATTTAGACCTAGTTTCTTATATTGTAGACTACTTTAGGTTATCATGGTTTTTGAATTTATATTGTTGTAAAAACTTAGTTTCTTTTGGTTATATATTGTGGTGTTGTATTTGCTGTCAACTTGGACTTCTAAATTAGCTTTGATTGTTGTTACTCTTTTGTAGTTATGTAACTTTCATTACTATCAATCCATTGTCCATTACTATTATGGATGGAGCAGAAATTTGAATTTAAATTGTCCACTCAATATGGTCTTGTTGTCACAGATATCAAATGTTTGATTACCATTGTTTTTTATGTTGTTATTGTCTTTTTTATTTGACATCTTGTTGTCTATATTATGGGTTTCTATTGATAGTTTGTATTCTCATTAATTTTTTTTTTCTTATAAAAAAGTTAATATTATCCAATGGAATTTGGATTATGTTATGAGTACCTCCTTGTTTTTTTGTATACAGGTTAAATGTAATTTAGATTAAAAAATAAAATATATTGTAAAATAAAAAAAAAATAACATTTAGATTGAGGAGGTCAAAAACCCCTGCTAAACAATGGAATTTGGTATACAGGTCACACGCAATTCAGATTAAAAAAATAAAATATATTGTGAAATTAAAAAAAAACATCATTCAAATTGAGGAGGTCAAAAACCCCCGCTAAACAAAACGCCGCAGAATGGAAAACGTAGCGGAGGTTGGTGAAAATCGCCGCATAATGCTAGTGGCGAACGTAACTGCGGCGTTTTCGTTTTTATAAAACGCCGTTACTTATTTTGAGGGGGGCAAAAACCGCCGCAATATGACAAAAAAACCGCCGCAAAATAACGAATTTCTTGTAGTGAAAATGTCAAGAATAAGGCAAGGTAGAAGGTTCAATTTGTGAAGCCTATTTAGTGGAGGAGACATCGACCTTTGCCTCGTTTTACTATCCTGATCATAGTGAAACAAGAAGAACTAGAATTTCACAAAATGTTGATGCAAGTGAAGGTTTTTCATCTAGTCTTCCTATATCAATTTTTAATTACCTAGGAAGAGCCACTAGCAAATTAAAGACGTATTTTTATACCAACGTGATCTTGAAGCTGCTCACTTGTATGTTCTTCAAAACTATGAAGAGGTTGAGCCATATTTATATAAGATACTAATCTTTAATCCTAATATACAATTCTAACTATGCATGTTAATCACTTTATGTTGTGTACTTTAAGTAATCTATTTTTTCTTCCCAATATTTATACTAAATTTTTAAGGAAGCTCGATCCTACTACTTTGGATGCTCAAATTGACAAAGACATTTCATCAAATTTTCCTATATGGTTTACAAAATATGTAGCTTAAGACTTTATAAGTTATTCAAATGTTACTTCTTCCAAAATAATATGGTTTATAATGTTCATTATTAAATTTCATAGGTTCTAAATTCATAAAATAATATTCAATATCCACTTTTGGTCAATTTGGCTTTGAGTCCTAAGAGAAAAGTTGAATCATGGCATACATACATTGTTAATGGATAGAAATTCCACACTATTTGCTGGAGTGAAGGCATGAAGTTCTCTAATCATGGTGTTTCTCTACAAGGAACCAATGGTCAATTAGAATATGATTTTTATTGAATGTTGTCTGATATTATTCAATTGGAGTATACTGGCTTCCCATTAATGAAGTTAGTTTTATTCAAGTGTGATTGGTTTGATAATACTCTTGGCATGGGGACAAAAGTAGATAATAAGTATGGGATTGTTGAAGTCAAGCAATCACGAAGATATAATAGATATAAAAAAGCATATGACCAATTTATATTTGCATAACAAGTTTATTACATAACAAAGTTCTTATCTTCTGTTGTGTGTTAGAAATGGCTTCTAACATCAATAGAACCATTGAAGAAGCTTGAAAGAGTCCAAGGAGTGAAAAATCCGTTCAAGAAGCTTGAAGGATAAGCTACATCAATCTAGTCTCTCCTAAGGTTTCCATCACCTACTTTGAACGAGTTCTCAAATCCCCCTTTCCATCTACCAACAACATCCGTCACCACTCCACCAATCCCTATCACTCAAGAATTATGTCGCCAACTTTCATCAAAATTCAACTTGACAAGGGGATAATCTGATGTCCATTTGTCACGTTGTCACCAAAGAGGCTTAGACCTCAATAAAGTTCATTTTGTGAAATATCTAATGTTATCTATCTCACAACATAATTCATAGTCCACAATCGATCTGTCTCAAAGATCATATGGTTTGAAAAATGTCAAATCCACCATGCCCCAACTACCAACCTCGTTGTATCTAGATGATTAACCAAGTTCTTAAGCCATAATAGACAACTAGTAATAGAGAAGAAAGAGGATGGAGTATTCCTTATCCTCGTCCAAATTTCACTTGAATGAAGATAGTCATGCACAACATGTAGTATAGATTCCATCCCATGTGAACATCTCATGTAAGCTCCACTCAAAGCCAAATTACTCTATAGTCGAACCTCATTAACTAGAATGACTTTATGTAGACCTTACCAAAGAAAGAACTTCATCTTCTCCAATATAGACAACTTCCAAAAATGTTTCCATTCTAAAGTTTTTGCAATCTATCGCTCTACATATAATGATTGGAATCCCTTGCTATAGTGTAGTTACGTGATAGGTCACCCATCTAGTTAAACTTGTTAATCCCTATTGGATTCATAGGTATATGCACCAATAAAATGCAATCAGTCACCTCTTGAGGGAGTAATGTGTATAAATTGTTCAAGTTCTAAGAACCCTCATGCCAACATTCAACAACTTTGATCTTAGAATCACTAATGTGTACGTAGGGAACCAGCTAACATATCCTAATCTTCATACTAAAAAGAGGAACTTCCTAAACCAAGACAAGGAGCAAAGTCATCCTTAAGAAATGGTAATGTTTTAAGAATGCTTGCTCAAATATAGGATTATCTGTGTTGTTCTACCTTAGCCAACACTAAGTGACCTCTCAAATATTTATCTTGCAAAACCTGCACCCAAGGCTTATGTGGTGAACTCGACATCTCTCAGATTAACTTACTAAGAAGGGCTATGTTCACCAACCGTGATTCTCGTATGTTTAATCCACCACGCACAAGTAGTTGAGTGACCATGGACCATCCCACAAAGACCAGAATCGGGAGCTACAATCTTTTGCCCACAACATTAAACAACACGCTATATTAATAATGTTGCAGATACCTTGCGGGGACCATAGACACCGCATACCATAAGCAAGAAACATGTTAGCCTATTTAAAAACCTATTTTATATTAACAATGTTAAATAGGCTAAATTGGCTAACATACTTACTTTTAATAAGCCAACAAATCTATTTTTAAGTATGTGTGGAGTCTTTTTTTAATTTGTGTGATAAAAAAATAGTTTACTCATTATTATTATAACTTAAAGTTTAAAATAATAATAAAAAGTAACGTAAAAGAGACAACTCATGCACATCCATGTCACTAACATACACGCAGACATGTGTAAGGTTGGCACAACATATTTTTTAGCCTAAGCAAATCTTAAAATGAGGCCTTTTTAAAATTAATAATAATATATTTTGATAAAAAGAAATAAAAAATTTCAATAAAAATAATTGTTACTGAAAGTTTATCTTTCAAACTTTTAGAGATGCAAAATTGTTTATTAAATTATTATAAACAAATTCTTTTATGATATATATTAAAGCTAATCCATTTAATCTTTGTAGAGACATTATTGATCTCAATTAAGATTTAATTTATTTTAATTTTGAAAAAACTTCTTTCAACATGCAACACTTATAGGAATTGTTAACATTATTCTTTAAGCAATATATACATTAACTAATATGTCTTCTCTATTTTCACTTTCATTTTCACTGGTGTCTACATTATTAACTTGTTCATTCAATGAGCAATCACCTATATTTTTAACTCTACTTTTGTAATTTATTTTGATAAATTTGTCTATAGCCCCCTTTTGTGACTCAATTAAAACATAAACCTTTTTCTTTTTTTCTTTTTAGTTTTGAATAATCAGATTCATATTTTCTAGTTGACATTTAAAAATAAAGTAATTAATGTTGTATAATATATCAATATATATATAACTATAAATTAAGAATACAAAGAAAAGGTTAAAATAATAAAAATTGATTGCTAAATGACTTTTTTACACAATTTTTTAAAAGGTGTTTTGACAAATGACTCTTTTCACCAATGAGAAATTGTTGATCAAGTTTAAATCTAGTAATTTTAAAACATAAATATCTCCTATACATGACATAAGTTTAAATTGTTAGAATGAACAATATATATATATATATATATATATATAATTTATTTATTTAACATAAAATAATTGATTAAAAGTAGTCACAATATTTTACATTATTGAATATAAAAAACAAATTAACATCGACAATTTTATAAGCAAATTTTTATAAGTCACAAAATATATGAAAGAAACTAAAAATAATTTATCCATATGAAAACAGTCTCATGAAATAGTCTCAAACAACAATACAACTAGGCATGGCAACGGGACGGGGCGGGGGCGGGTTTTACGTTCCCCGCCCCCG